CACAGACTCTTGCATAACGCATAACACATGAGGCATAAGAAATTGAACCAACCAGAGTTCTCTATTACATGGAAGGGAACGAAGAACTTCGATTGGTACATATTCTTATGCATTACGTGTTATGCGTTATGCAAGAGTCTGTGCTCCCCGCTTTAGAGCCCAGACACAAGCTTTTGCATAACGCATAATGCATAGTCCATAAGTGAATCAACTAATCAGAAGCTTTCCTTTCCTCTCATTCCATGGAAAAGAAGAATTTCGATTGGTTGATTCCCTTATGCACTATGCATTATGCGTTATGTAAGAGTCTGTGCTGCGGCCTTTAAAAGTCCTAAATATAACTCGTGTAAAGTCTGTGTGGGCGTTGAGCATATTCTCTTTACTACATATAATAAAGAAAACTAACTTTCCGCATAAAAATATACTACTAGTGTATAAGTAAATTCGACAAGTAGTGTAATAATGTAAACTAATAATGCAATAGTGGTGGAGAAATTTTAATGAAATTTTTTTGAAATTTTAATGAAATTTTTTATCGAAATTACTTATTGCACTAGTGACACTAGTAGTATATTTTAATGCGGATTATTTGTGAAATTATGTATGTGTTTAATATTATACATAAATATATTAAATATATATATGTATATATGTACCTATATGTACATTTGTTAAGTTATGAGTCTTCTATTAAAAAATAAACTTTTAGCGTTTTTTTATTTATATATTTACCATACAAATTTATGTAATATTTTATGAATGTCCAGGCGCGATTCCGTAACTGTCTTTACACGCCTACCGACAGTTATCGGTGTCGTTGAGCAGATATTTTATATAGTGAAAAAGCTGCGCAACGACATCGACAACTGTAGGCGTGTAAAGTAAAGACAGTTATGAAATCGCGCCCCAGGAAAAAGTAACAAAAAATAATAATGACTCGTTTTTAGTAATGATAACGGGAACGAGTTACTTTTTTAAAAAAATAATTAGAGATTAGAAAGGGCATATAAGAGTCAATAACGCAAATCATATAATATGAAAATCAAAACACAAAATATATTATACTCTGTAAATTAAAATTTGACTAATATTATATGTTTCGGCTTCTAGATTGAGGCGCTCTTCAGATATTCTAACGCAATAGTGTTGTTAAGATGATGAACGCAATAACAGAGATGGATAATAATATATAAGCATTAGAGGCCCGATGAATGCTTTATAGAGAAACAGAAATTACTCAAAAATGATTGTTGGAAAAGACTTCGGACAAATTAAATTTCGGTCGAATTGGCTCAAAATTTGATATATTATGTAGAGCTTGTCGTCCTGATAAAAAGTCTCTTCAGGCACGACGATAATGAACTGTTTCACCTCTACAAGGCGTCATTTTTCAAAACGGGCTAATACTACAATATCTTATTTTAAACTAGTACGGTACATTCCTATGTCTTTATTTGCAATTTCTATATTTTTAAGTTAAAAAAATTTATATAAAGCAATTATTTATAATATTGACTTGATTGCTTCTTACTTATCGGAATGCTTGATTATTGTAAGTCTCCTTGCCTTTCACAAATTAGGGTGCTTGATTATTGTAAATCTCCTCACCTCTCATAAATCGCTAGATGCTTAAATCTCTAAAATTAAGTTATCGATCTCAATATCTTTATAGCTTTTTTGTAACAAGCAATCAAATCAATATTATTATTCTTATAACTTTTTTTAACTTGAAAATATACACAGAAATTGCAAATAAAGATGTAGGAATGCACCGTATTCATTGAAAATAAGGTGTTGTGATATTAACCCGTTTTGAAAAATGGTGCCTCTTATGCCCGTTTCTGCCAGTGTGGATTAATTTTAATCTCGGTTCAACTTACTCTTCATCTTTTTCTTATTTTTAAAACTAGAAAAAGATGAAGAATTAGTTGAACCGAGATTAAAGTTAAACTGCATTGGTAGAAACAGGCATTAGAGGTGAAATGGTTCATTATAGGGGATCATGCCCATGGAGACTTTTTATCAGGACAAGATCTACATCAAATTTTCAGCCAATTCGATCAAAATTCAATTTCCATAAGGTTTGTGCAAGGTCCTTTCTTCATATTCAAAATGGTCATACAGTCGTATTTCGCATGACTTTTTTAAACATATAACAAGTAAGGATAACGAATTACTTTTAAAAAAAAAAGGACGGTAAGGGTACCGAGTTACTTTTGTAAGATAACGTTGTCAACCTTGCTAGATAGCAATGTTAGTATGACCTTGAATAGAACTGTTTGTAAGATAACGTAAAAATCACTTCAAGATTTTTTAATGAAGACCCGTTTTTATTGCATATTCTTATTATGTTATCTCGAGAGCTTTTCAAAACATTATAAAAAGGAGTTATAAAAATTTTTAACTATATTTTAAAGTTAAAAATTAAAATAAGTAGAACAACCTATGATGACCTCATATAACGTCAATAGGTTATGATCTTGAACAATATTTAAAAGATTTTAGGCAGTCGGACAATGCTATTGTCAGTGGTTGTAACGAGTATTCACTTCCATATATACGAAAGCGAGACTTTCGCATCATTTTAGACTTTTATTTTTGCTTTTGCTATCGCATAATTATGTGAAAGTTTTAGCGAAAGATTTTGTCCGACTTGTACACCCAAAAAAAGACAATCTAATTGTAAAGTGAAATTTCCGGTAACCTCATATTCTAAGCAGAAACTTTTACAGAAAGAGTATTCCTCTTCCAATACACTGGACTATTCATCAAAAATGTATTGGAGATTATTCTAACAGTTTTCCTCTTGTATAAAGAGGAATATATTTACTGAAAGCGGAGTGCCCTCTTACAAGTAAATTATATTAGGAACAGCAAAATTTTTACTGCAGATGCAAAACAAAAGTACTCTAACTGTAAGAATATTGTACTTAGCATATTTTCCTATTGATTTCAGAAGATTCCTCTTGAGACCGTACACTGAGAAACCAATTTAGTTGAATCAACCAAGGATTTGTTTGCCCATATCCAAACAAGAAATTAATCGATGCAACAAAATAATTTAGTTGAAGCAAAGCATTTGGTTATTGTAACATTTCACTTGTTTCTGGTAGACGTTGACATCTGATAAAGTTGTTTACAATAACCAAGTGTTTGGCTTGAACTAAATTATTTTATTGTATCAACCAAGGATTTGTTTGCCCATATCCAAACAAGAAATTAATTGATTCAACTAAATGGGTTTCTCAGTGTATATAAGAATAAAATCCTCTAAGATTTAGCGGTTTCTGCTAATATTAAAATTATTTTTTTTTTGGACGTAGGATTCACAACTTCATCGAGAGCACATTGGATGACAGAAAAGTGTTTTATGTTTCATTCATTGATTTGACGATCTAGAGACATTTTAAACTTTAGAGTTGTGTATTTATTGAAAACAAATAAATATTAAATAGTAATCTGATTTCATCAATAGTTTGAGTCTCGAGAGACCGCTCGAACAAGGCGGACGTGTTTCGTCTCGGGTGTTGCATCACTTCAGTTATTTTTTTAGAAAACGTTACTGATTTCCTACTGTGCATTTGCATTTTTCATACTAAAATCCCTTTATTCGTCTGAAACATGCGCCGTGCGATCCTAAACGCAGGCGCCCGGTACAATGCTTGGAAGATCATATTGTCATTTTCGACCGTGTTGCACTATCCAATCGAGAAATTTGGTCGATTTAAAGTATACTGTTTTTTCACAAGTTACTCTATTTTTCGAACATCAGTGGCTCAATTTCAGCCAAATTTGGTCAATAAAAAGAGGAAGAAGAAGAAAAACAAATAACTGTTTTCATACAAATTGCACAAGTGTAATATAAATTATAGCTAAATTATAATAATAATTAATAATAATAATTAAGTGTATAAGTGATAACAATATTATCATGCAATAATTTGAATTGAAATCAATAATATTTTTTTTTATTTTTAGAAAGAGAGAGAGAGAGAGAGAGAGATTTGCATATTATTTTTCCTAACTGTCAATTTCATCATTTAGCAGAAAGAACGAGATCTTTTGCTTTTGCGTTCATATTATAATGTCGCATTCGCTTTCGCATTTGGTTTTGTTTTGACCACTTTCATTATAATCCTATTTATTATAGTGCTTTGAAAAGCTCTCGAGGTCAGCTACAAAAATATGTAAAATAAGTATGTACAAAATAGAGGTTTTTATTAAAAAGTTTCAAAGCGATTTTTTACATTACCTTGGCAACTTTATCACATTAATTGGTATCTAATACGTCGATAAAAATCCTATAAACTCTTGTCTGAAACATTTTTCAAGAAAATACATATTTTTTTGAAAAACAAGCTTGGTACGGTCACTCTATTACATCTGTATTATATACGTAGTATAAAGATCACTACGTACTACGAAATTTTCGACGACGACAGCATCATATTCAGTACGAGAAAATCTTCCAAATATGTCACACTTTTTCTTTTAACACTTTGAAAAAAATTTTTTGTTGAACCGTGCAATAGATATAAATGTGTGTGGATTGCGTGTGCGCGCGCGCGCGCGTGTGTGTGTGTGTGTGTGGGGTGCGCGCACTCGCGTGTCGTATAACCTTTCTAAAGGAATAATGACCCATCACGGCATCTCAGCGTCAAAGCTTTTTATTATTTTTATTTACCTCGAGATATCATATCTTTCTTATTAAAAAGATGGTAATAAATATTTAAAAAATATGATAATATATGATACAAAGTATCAACAATCAGGATGCTTTCAAAAGGTCTTTCGCATTGAGCTATTTGTCACCTTTCGAAAGCATCCACAGAAAAACTGTCATGTGTATAATATATCTGGAAAAAGAGTTAACCCAATAATACAAAATCAATCCAAAATTTATTGAATGTAAAAACGCGTGTAAGACAGCAAAAGTTGTGTTACGTGCAATTGACGGACAAACTCAAGTTCGAATCTATGAGGAATATATAGCGTCGTACCTTTTGAAAGCATCCAGAGCTCTTTGGAGCTGAAGACACCTGTTGCAAGGATCGTATCATTGCAGACGACACCATTATATAGTTCATGATATCCTGTACCTGGGAACAAAACCCAGCGAATAATATTTAATATCCGCTCATTGCCAGAATCACTAAAACCCAATATATATGAGTTTGGATATGTGTCGGAATGTAAAAATTTTATAGGAAATAGGGATGCATCGGATATCTGGAAATCCAGATCCGGTATCCAGTATTATCCGATATTTTTTTACTATCTGGTTGGATAGCCGAATATCATTAATATCCAGCAATATATGTATATACTACTAAAGTTTTATTTAAAGTTTGTGTCATTGATGTAGAATTCTATTTTTTTCAGCTGAATTTTTTGCACAGTTCATCTTTCCTCTTCTTATTTTCACGTTGAAAAGATAAAGAAAATTATTATTGTTATTTTTCCCTTGCTTTCCTTTTTTTTGGAACTTTGGAAAATTTGTATCGAATGCCCTTACGAAAAGAAACTACTGATTACAACTACAGTACTGCAGTAGTATAATAGTGTAGTAGAAAATACAATATTCAACCACTATTGCACTGCTTTACTACTATACTATAGTACTGGTAGTGCTGAATAGTGCCATGTATCACTACTGCGAATTTTTCGCTGAAATTTCAAAAAAATAAAATTAATTAATCCAGTTTTATTGTTAAAATAAGTATTATTGATTAGTATCATATTCCACACGATAAAATTAAGATAAAAAAACATTCCCTCTGAATTCGATAATTAATTTCATGGCATTCCCAAGCGGTCACTTATCCTAAGTTGTACCCCAACATAGCTTGACCTCTGCGATCGTATGGAAACTGCTCACTAGATGATCCACGAACACCTATAATGCTAATAGATATATAGTTATAACGTATCTGATCTAAGACGTGAAACAGATAAAACATGTATGGAAAAAAATTAATATTTAATATAATTGTAACGATCTATTAACGAGAACATACTAATATCATATTGTCTTCTCACACATATTAAAACCATTTACGTTAAAAAAAATGCATAAAAACTAATTTTTGTGTATTTGTAATAATTTTGCAATGCTTTTAGCAAAATGTTAAAGGATATTTAATACATTTTTAGAGAAATATCAATTTTTTGGAAAAATTTTCGGACAAATTTGTAAAGAAATTTCAGTCTAATTCCAGTAATTTTTTATTTTTGTTGAAAAAATCACTTTCAGCAAAATTTAAATCATATACAGGAAAATTTAAATAAACCTTCAGCAAAATTTTCCAAACACTTTCGGTTAAAATTCAACGATGTTTTCAAGATTTTTTATTAAAAAATCACTTTCATAAAAATTTTAGATAAATTTTAGACTAATTTCAAAGAAATTTCAACAAATTTTAGTAAAAATTTTTCACGAACTTATAGAGAAATTTCAGTTAAATTTCGATGATTTTTCAATATTCTTGCTGAATAATTCACATTCAACGAAATTTCAGTGAAATTTCAACAAATTTTCAATATTTTCGTTGAAATGTCAATTTCAACAAAATTTCTACAAGATTTCAACAAAATTTTTCCACCAGCACTGAGAAAAATGTCCAGTATTTTTTATCAGAAATAACCGTTCTAATGCTTTCTCCGATCAATTTCGATCGGATTTAGGTTATCCGATGAAGTGACAAACACTTTTATTCGATGAAATGTAATTTCCGATTACATGTGAACGGAATATGAACTGTCATATGCCTATCCGTTAAAATTTCATCGGATAAACCTTCAACTTGATTGGACATTAAACTTGAACAGATAAAAAGAGTATTTTATCCGATCAATTGGAAAGTACTGTCTGAAAGTGAAAGTCACATGATCGGCGACTGTTTCCATAGGCTCTCTAGGCTGATGATATTGGCTGATGTGTTCAGCAGAGAAAATGAATCAGTTAGCTTAGTGATTCTTTAATATCTTTTTATATATTGATTCTTACCTTTAGATCTTCGCTAAATCTAAGTATAGGAACCAATCGTATTAAAGAAACACTAAGCGCTAATTAGTTTTCTCTGCTGAACACAGCCATTATTTTCGTGTTGAAGTCAAGCGAGCATGTGTCTCTAGCGCGAATATCTATTTAGTTTTTATTATGCATTCGTTCTTATTCTTGGCTGCATATACTACAATATCATTGAAGCATCGAAAAGAAGTGTGACGACGAAATTTCTCAGGATATAAAAACAGTTCTTGAAACTATGAAAGTTGAGGAAAAAGTAATTCACTTCTTATAAGTAAACCTTTTTCTTATACAAAAATTTACATGTTAAATGATCAATGCTTGTTTATTCAACTGTGTATAATTTAACGTTATCCGATCAAAAATATATGCGTGCAGGTACTTGATCGAACATAATGTGTCGAATAGTCCGTTCAAAAGGTAACGAACGGATATTTCTCGTCAGATACTCCGACGAATTTATTTCCGATTAAATGTGATCGGATTTTTTGTCTGATCAAAATAATCGGAAATAATCGTTTGTTACTTTTTGAAAGAATAATCCGATCATTATGATTGGAAAAAGCCTGGATATTTTTCTCAATGAGGGAATGAATTTGTATTTTTGTTAGCATATGATAAATATGAAATTCTATATTTAAAATATCTATGATAATAACTCGCTTTTAATAATACTGTAAAATATTGTCCTTGCATGTGGAAATAATAACTAAATGCTCTAATGGTATATATGTATTTTTTACTACAATAACGATTTTTTTATATTAAATGCTACAAATATACTGAAAATACTCCATGTTACTAAACATTTTGTTAATAATATAATAAGAATACTGCAGTAGAGTTAAATATTAATAATATCACTATTAGTAGCTCTGAATACTAGTAGATTAAAAGGCCACTGTAGTGATTTTGTTATCCATAGCGACAAGTATGGGAAGTGGGTAATCTTTTATTTCATGTAAAACATAAAAACAATACATTTATATTTAAGACGTGGTCGCTTGAAGGAGAGATGGGCTTTTCAAAATGTTGCAGATTTTGATTTTTTTACTGAAAGCGTCGAGGTTGAATGTTGTTGCAATCGATAGTTAATACCCTTATTCCAAGACAGGCGGACTCCGATACCCCCCTCAGAAGGATGCAAAGGATTGCTATACTGGGTAAAAGTGGTAAATTTTTTCTGAAAAAAGAAAATCGATAGCGATAAGGTTGAATTTTTGTCTACTACTTAATTTTGGTATCAATTGTCGAGAAATATGATTTCCATACCTTTTGAATGATCACGAAGACAGCCGTACTTACCCAAATACGCACAACTTGACATGGAGTAAGAAAATTGTACGTGTTCCGGTAAGTATGGCTGCCTTCGTGATCATCCAAAAAGTATGGGAATCATATTTTTCGACAATTGATATCAAAATTAAGTAGTAGACAAAAATTCAACCTTATCGCTGTCGATTTCTTTTTTTCAGAAAAAAATTACCGCTTTGACTATGGCGATTCCTTGCACCCTTTTGAGGGGTATGGGAATCCGCCTATCTTGGAATAAGGATATTGACCATCGATTGCAACAACATTTAACCTCAACGCTTTCAGTAAAAAAAATCAAAATCTGCAATACTTTTAAAAACCCATCTCCCCTTCGACCGCGATCGGGCTTAAATATATATGTAATATTTTTATGTTTTGCATTAAATAAAAGATTACCCACTTCCCATACTGATCGCTATGGGTAACAAAATCACTACAGTGGCCTCTTGGTCTATAGTGTCGCTAGTGCAGTAGCGAACACAGTGAAAATAGTAGTGCCTACTGGAATAGCGCCGAATATTACTATAGGATCATAATAGTGTTAGGATGCTATTTCACTTGTGCGTTTTTGTCGTATACACGGAGAGAATTTTTTCTTAGAATTTACCCTGAAAATATGACAGCCGTGGGACAACATTGTGTATTTCGAAGAATTTTAATATAAATCTCTCTCATTCATTAATAAAACTACAATAAAGTATAATAACAATAAGTTTGATTAATTTTACTGAAGTGCATGGTAAAAATCTTTAAAATATTGTATTGTACCACAATCACCATATTTTCAGGGTAAATTTAAAAAAAAATTCTCTCCGTGTACACACCGACAAATGTATAATATATAAGACAGGGAGATCTTTAAATCTCTCTATAACCGATCAATAGGCTTGAAAATTTTTATCGTACGATAAAAGCGTAAAAATGAAATAGAGGCCGTAAACTCTACTAAAACTAATAATATACACTAGCAGTGATAGTATTGTAAGTGTTAAACACTAGTAGCATTACTATGATTCAGGGTATCGATCACGTAACTTTTTCTCTAGAACGAAAACGTGAAAAGTGAAAATTTTTATTTATATGCAGAGTGTTCCCGGATTGAACCGCCAAACTTAAAATATAATTTCAGGACTTTAAAACAAACAAAAATTTTCCTCTGGATGCTCGCAAACGCTTCGTTCAAGAAATATTTACTTCTAAAATTATGCAGAACTGTAGGAATGAATAATTTCGAAATATCCTCTTTATTGCTTTACAATAATCAAAATTTTATTATAAAATATGTTTTGTTCAAAATGATGACCTCCAGCTCAGAGGCAAGCATATTATTACATTTATCAATGAGAAAACGAGTGGCTGACTGACGTGGTACGTTTGTAATTTCTTTACACGCTTGCATAATTCTTCATTTTAATGATTGAAAATCATTAACAGGCACTGCATACACTTTTTGCTTAAGAGTATATCATACAAAAAAATTTAATAGTGTTAAATCTGGTGAACACAGAGACCAAGCCACAGGTCCAATAAGACCGATCCATCTTCCGGGAAAATGAATATTAAGCCATTCGCATTCAAGCGAGCTGCAAATGGGATCCAATTAAAATATTGTTCATTATTCCTAATCATACATTACATTGAAGACCGTGTTGGAAATGTTGTTCATGGATTGCTCGAGGATTCTCATGTGACCAAACTATTTCCAAATGTGACATTGCTATTTCTTTGATTAAGAACCTTGCCTGGTAAATATGCGGCATCATCTGGTCACAAAATGTTTTGTGAAAATTGTGGATCGTTATCTGTTTGGTTTAAAAACCAATCGCAAAATGCTCTCCTGAGTGGCATAACAGCCGGTAATAAATGCTGGATACGTTGAAGATGGTGAATGACGTCCATCGAGTAAAAGTGTCCATATAACTGTGGGTGAAATTCCTAACGCAGAACCAGATCTTCCGATACTTATTGATGGATTTTGATCGAAATGCTGCAATATGATGGCTGTTCTTCTTTCATTTTGCACTGGTGCAAAAACTCCATCAGCCCGGGGAACCATATTAAATGACCCAGTTCTCTTCAGTCGTTGAAATGTTAAGGGTCCTCTACATAGAAGTCGTAGACGGTCGTGAAGTCTTAAGTCGTAGGAAACTAACCAATTCTAATCGAGTATTCTCCTTATATTTGATTGATTGGTAGATTTCCTATGACTTAAGACTCCACGACCGTCTATGACTTCTATATAGAGGATCTTTTAAAGGTTAAAAGGAGAGACTATGGAGACCTCCAGTCAGTGTGGTGAAACGTAGGGATTTCTCCTTAACGTAGGGAATTTTTACCTCAAAAAGACGTAGGGAATTTTAAGTTAAAAAAGACCAAAATGTAAAGATTAAAAATCCTTACATTTTGATCTTTTTTAACTTAAAATTCCCTACGCCTTTTTGAGATAAAAATTCCCTACGTTAAGGAGAAATCTCTATTTTTACCATAACCACACTGCCTCCAGTTGAAGACGAATTTCTTTACGCTGAAATTATGGCTAAAATACTGGATAAATCGCGTTTTAATTGCGATATTTGTAATCAGAAAAGGCTCCTGAAGGCTCGTACAGAACGATTTTTTTTTTTTTTAAAGCGAAATAAAAATTTATTGTGATACCTCACCCTATGTGTACTACAGTGCAGTTAAGGTGTACACAATTTTATTATTAAAAAATTTTCAAGAATCAATTTGCAAAATCCGGCTCTGTACGTGCCTTTGCAACTCCATAAAAAAAAATCAAAAAGATTTTATGACGTAATATTACTTCTTGAAGATAAAATATCAGCATAAAAACAGATATCTGCACCATAAATAAGGAGCATACAATTTTATTCATTAAAATGTTTTTAAGAATTAAATTGCAAAATTTAGTTCTTTAATAGACTTCGTAACTTCGTAAAATATAAGCCAAAACAAGTTTCATGGCAAAATATTTCTTCTACGAGACAATATATGGTAGACTCTGATAGAGTGCAGATATGTAACTGAACCCCAAATGAGGTGTAAATGAGTTGGCTTGTTACTCCTGTCGATCCTTAAAGAGAATACTGATTTGTACGGTAATCTTCTGTTCGATTCGAAAATTGCGCGGCATATTCACAGCGAGCAGTGTTAGCATTTCCGTCACACAAAACCTATATAAATATACCGGCATATTCACTATTAGAATACGTACGAGGCATACGATTATAGGCCTGTTAATGAAGCTTTCGAGCTTCAAAACAAAAAAAGGGATATTTCAGTTAGAGCTCTATTATTCATTCTTACAGTTATCTATATATATAACTTCGAAAGTAATCTCTCGAATAAAGCATTTGCGAGCATACGTCCAAAGGAAAATTTTTGTTTTGAGGTCCTGAATTCATATTTTAAATTTAGCGGTTTAACCCGGGAACCCATACATACATATATACAAAAAATTTTCACGTTTTAGCTGTAGAGAAAATGTTATATGATCGATACTCTGCAGTGACACTATTGCGTATCAGTGGTGACACTTGCGTATCAGTACTATCAGTATAGTGATATTACCAAATTTCAGTAATCATCACTATACACTAGCAGTTTCTTTTCCGTAAGGGTATCCGGAAAAATATCAGGTATCCGGCCGGATAATTGCCCTACCAGATATCCGATTGAATATCGAATCACATTCTTTCTTAATATTCAATATCTGGTATCTGATAATTTTATCATTTGATGCATCCCTAATAGGAAACGATTAACTGAAAACGCATACTAATGTGCATACTAGTCTCGCTTGAGACGAGAAAAATAGATATAATTACGCAAATGTGAATTACAAAATTATGTCGGTACCTTTTCGACGTCTGTCATCCTCCTTACTAGCGTTGCAGATGCCATTCAGTACTTCTACAACAGAAAAATAACCGAAATAAATGCTCTTATTTAACAAAAAGGTAATTCATTTGCAACGATAGATAATAACATATTTCATTCCTTTTTATTTCATTTTTTATAATTCGAGTATATTTTATCATTAAACTCCTTATTAATAACCTTATAACTTTATTAATAACCTTATAACATCAAAATATTCAAATTATATAAAACTTCTTTTGACAACATATGTTCAACGTTTTCTCGTTCAACGTTCACTATTGCTCGGCGTTTTACGCAAATTTTGTTACGCAACGTATAACCGAAATACTGCACGATCTGAAATTACAGCGATTTCTCGAGAATTGAGAAGAATGAAGAGCTGGGCTGGTAGAAACTATAGTTTTATCGTACATGCTTCAAAAGATAAACACAAAAATAAAAGAAAAGACTTAAAAAGTTAAAAAAAAGTTTATTATATTGAGTATATTCGGAGATATTTTTGAACTCTTTCCTAATACAAGTGCGTGCGTGTGTGCGTACGTGTGTGCGTACGTGTGTGCGTGCATTTGTGCGTGTGAGACACAAGTATATTATATATATTTTTTTAAAAATAATATATTTATATTTCAAAAATTGTGAAATCTAATACATCAATTTGGAAACATTTATTGAAATATATATGTTTTTGTTAATAAACAGAATGATAAAAGACAAATCTTGTTAAAGTTTATCGCGATATAATGAAGTTTCTTAATTCTTGAAGCTTCTAGATCACAAAATGTTGAAAATCATAGATCGTTGATTGCTTTATTTCTTACACAAATAGAAATCTATTTATAAAATTCGACTTTTACTTGAAATTTTTATATCTACTTCAAAAATGTTTCTTTTGAAACAACGTGAAAGTGTTACTTCAATATTCGAAGATCAATTAATACACGACAAAAATCTTTACAAATGCAAAAATATTCTAATATTTTTAGTGGCATGAAAGAAAATCAATGTATAAGCGTGTGAGTACTCGCTAAAGATGTCTGTTACCTATTTATTTATAGAATGAGCATACAGCAGCAAGCATGGTCACGCGCTTGCGTGCGCATTTTCTCTACATGTTCATTCGACACACTGTCCGCTTCGATACGCAGACACATAAGACAAGAAATACGTATACAAACATGAAATAATGTACTCCGTATAACAAATCAAACTAACCAAGACTCCTTATAAATCAAAGAATTGGAAAGAATACGGGCGTTAGGAGTCAGGCGCAGAAGACGTCGCGCAAATAATACACTTATGAAGCTCGAAACTTCTTTATTCGCGCTTACATGTTTCGGCCCATTTTTTAGCCTTCCCCAGAGCAAACACAAACTAACATATATAAAGTAAAAGTTATCCTGTCATGGTGAGCTCCCTACATCGAGAGTTTAAATGCCAGAATTAAACAAATAGAAAGAAAAAGAAAATGAAAAAAAAGGGAAATATTAAAAATGTCGAATTAAAGAATATAGAAACTAATTTATCAAAAAACACTTTAAGAATATAATTAATTATCCTGAAAATAAGGACGCTCATAATGATTACAAAGCATCGTATCGCAAACATTACCATGAATAATTCAAGAACCGGTTCCTGATATGTTGGCCAGTTGGTATCAGACACAGTGAGTCACTTTTTAGTTATTAGCTAGTATTAATGAAAATTGTAAAATGATAAAAAATATCATAAGAAGGACTTATTATTGTGTATGAACGACACCGACTGACAAGACGTGACAACAACTCGAGATTATAATTTATCTACAATCAGAAGGTAATACTATAAGGAAATATGCATGAATACTGACTCATATACGGATATTGTACAATATTAAGATATTTGGTTTGATGGAGACTAGAAAAAAACCTTATAAAAATTTTTCACCGCTTTTACACCTCATATAGACCGTTTTTAGCCCGTTTTTAGCCCATTCTTGCTCGTTTCTTGCACTCGCAAGTACTCGTAGTGTACCGCAAAGGTACAATAACGAGTATACACGAGTATACATATGAGTATCTTTTAATAAATTGTCCGTTTTCAATACTCGTTTTTCTGCTATGAGTATTTTTTAGTGGATTGTCCATTTTCAATGCTCGTATTTTAGCAGAAGAGAACACGTTAATACTTTCCACTTTTACTAATACATTTACTTATCGTTTATTAGGGTAAACTCGGATATGATGGCCATAGTTTTTTTAAAATGCAGAAAACGTACATTTATTCTTGTTACTTTTTAACAATATTTGGGATATTACTTTCACTAAAGCTTAAAGTAACAAATACTATCGAAATTAAAGAGAAAATACTTAACAGAACTTTAATTTTATCAAAATTTTACAAAGTATGCATTAGCCATCTTATCTGATTTTTAGCGAAAAAATGGCCATGAAATTAAGAAAGATATCCATAGTATTTATAAATAAATAGTGAAAATAAAAGTATTAATTATAGGTCACTTTACAATTTACGTACTTTTATTGTGTATGTAATGTTGATTATGGCAGCTTAACTGTAATTTATTAGACATTATAACAGTTTTTAGCAGACACGTGCAAAACTTTGCAGATAGTCGAAAGAAAAAATATTAGATAATATTTATAATATTGTTATTTTGAACAATTAAAGTGTACTCATATGAACTACTGTAAATATTGATTATCTTTAAGAATGACTATAAAAATGCACTATTTATCAATTATTGGAGAAATTATGACCTATGGCCATCTTTTCCGTATGGCCATAATACCCTAGTTTACCCTAATTATCACATCAATTTCAAATTAAACGATCAAAAAGGCATCATATTTTAATATTTTTTTTTTATATTTCGTACGATCTCTAATAAATTGAAAAAAAATTCTTATAATAAGGTAACTCCGATATTTACGCCGCGCGAGGATTTACGCCACAGAAATTAGAAATAATAAAAGGAGTGGGGATAATTTGCAAGCAATCAATCTATTATATATCCTTTATGCTATATTAGTATCGTGACTTAAATTTTTTACTGTAATATTAGTAACATTATTATGTCAGTTGAATCGATTTATCAATGTATTAAGTAGCGCAACCATGTATTATAACTCACGTGAAATGATTACTGTAGAGAGTGCAAAAGACTTGGTTATTTGGTGATACACGATTATTCAATGATTTGGTGATATATAAATGTAGAGAGATGATAAAGAATGGACTACAACAAAATACAAATGTTTAACTTCATTTTCGTTCAGTTTGATGTTGCATCTTCCACCTGTTTGGAACATACGGAATTTTTTGCGAATGGGCTTTATATCAAAACGCATAAAATATACATATTGGCTTAAGTACATTAAATTCAATGCATTACATAAAACATATCGTATCTCCTCATATCATAACTCTTGTAATATATGCAAGATTAGAAATATTATCTATTATTTCCTATATATTATATATTCACCATCCTTATTCCTTAATAAAATTTTACACAAACACATTTTATATTTCAATACGTTTTTACCACTCGAATATACTTATGTACTATATGAGTGCAATCCGTTTTAACCACTAATTTTTACGAAAAAGTTCCTGTTTGCGACTTAAAAACGGAGTCATACTCATTGAGTGAAATGCATGTTTTCACCACTTAAACTAACTAACCGTTCGCGCGGGCTAAAAACGGGCTAAAAATGGTGAAAAATTTTTATAAAGAAAGGTACCCATTTGCGACAAGAAAATCGCATGCACTGTTTCTTTTTTATATTTTAAAGCTTGAAACCCCTATTTTTCAGATCAGTAATTCAGATAATGATCTAATTGATTTTTTTACGGAGCTTACAGTGGAGATCCATCAAATGTAAATCATATAAGATAAAATAAATCTCTAAATCATATAAGATAAAATAAAAGGTATATCATTTTAAGATCTTTCCTCCAAAACTATTGCGTAAGGCATTTTCTTGGTCTCGCACTTTTTAGAGTTTCAAGAAGCCTGCAATGCTTGCTTGTCTATATATATTTATTTTGAATGTTTTTTGTAAATATTATATCACAATTTATTATTACATAATCGGGCGACGAAATGGGTGTGAAGTTGTGGAGTGCTCCTGAGTTGATCTGAGTAGACCTGAGATTTAAGTGGAGTGGAAACTCGACATTACCTGCAGTGCTCTGTGAAGCTTCAGGTCTGTCCTTTTTAGTTAAAGTTCTTGCACGGTTTATTTTTCTTCCTTTTCTCTCCACGTTGGAAAGAAAAAGAGAAAAGATAAACCGTGCAAGAAGCTCAGCTAAAAGGAACAAGCCTTGTGTCTATTGGTCTACTTTGAGTTCTCGTTCGCGACTGCCGAGACTACCGTCGGCAACAGTACTGCAGACTGAAACCCGAACGCCACAACGTTTTTTCTAGCTTCTCGACTCTTACTGTCTCGCTCGCTCACTGTTTCGCTGCCTCGCTCGCTCGCCGCGTCATTACTTGGAGAAAGAAAGTGAAGAAGGAAACACGCTGTGCAGGCTTTAGTCTGCAGCACTAATCCGTTCCGAGCTCGGAGCTGCGCTTAGAGTGAGAGATTTGCTTAGAGGGGGAATTAGAGAATTAAATATGGCTTAAGAAATTTTTTCATCCCTCCCCTTACCCAATAATAAGTCACTCCACACCTGCAAATCCACCAAATAGTTGTACATGTACGTAACAGTAACCGATCTCTTATTTATCACAAGTAATTTTAACAAACAGATTGCTGAAACAGAACTAAACTGATGATAATAACAACTAATTGAGCGAAAATATGATTAGCTAACTGATGGCTAAACAGCATAAAAATTTTATCAGTTATTGATAATAAAATTTAACATAAGTGGACAAATGTTAAACAAGTTTTTATCATTAAATGGTAAATCTATTCCAACATACTGATTATACTGTCACCGATTACAATTCAAAGCGACGGAACAAGAAGATTAACGAAGACAAACACGAAGTTCGAACTTGAGATCCTTCGTTCATTTTCCCAAACGCTCAAAAAGCTTCCTCACAACCAGTGGCGGATTTACGCATTTTTGTGTCCTAAGTCCTGTACTTCTTGGCGCCCCTTTCAGAATGAACAACCAAAAAAAGAGTTAGCTGCCGTCGAAAGGCGCCACTTTTCTCCCAAACGCAAGCGTTTGGCTATATTGACGGAAATGCGCCACACCTAGCAAACCTGCACGAATATAAGATTAACTTTAATCTCGGTGCCTAAAAGGATGATACCCCTAGACCTTGGGACTTTATCTAAATCTGCTACCGCTCACGACTGCTCCACTATTCATAATTCTCATACGTATCTCACACAATGAACAGATATCCATTAGTTAGCGCTCAGTTTTTTGTCAGTTTTGATATTATATTATATTATATTTTTTATAAAAGATTTGTTAATTTTTAATATATTATAAATATTAAATTTATATTAAAACGTATTAATATATACTGCTCAACAAAAATAGAAAATACTTTCAAAACACTCAAAATTACATAATTTTTAGGTCACCGAAATTCAGTAAACAATCATCGCAGACAAAAAGTAAAAGAGCATATCAACTTAAACTTGTACTTTAACGTTTTTTGACCGTTTTTCAAAAAAAATTTATTTTTACAGTTCTGTATCTTGACAGTTAAAGATCACCTTATTATGTTCTTTAAAACTACATTCAAAAGTTTGCAGCTTGATAAAAAATTTTTTTCACAAAAAATTTAATACTTTTACAAAAAAATATACAGTTTTACAAAATGTTTTTTTAAAAACTTTCTTATGATTTTTCTTAACCGTCGAATATCGCGACTTTGAAACTGAACCTACATTTCTTACAACTAACGCATAAGAAAATGAATTACCGAAAAAGTAACCAAAAGTCACTTGTACATACATATAAAAAATACATGATATCTTTCTACACATATAAAGCTAGAAAATCTTTAAATTTCAAGGCATTATATAGACAAACATGGAAGTAGTGCGTAAATAAAGTTGATATTAATTGTAAAAAATTTTAGTAATAAAAATCAAATATAAAACAAGGCATGAAATTTTAGTAAGTTTTGTATGAATAAATTCATCATCTCTATATATGTAATCTTGAAATTTGTAACTTCTTTTGAATATAATTAACATATATACAAATATAGATCGATTGTATCAAAGAATACAATACTCTGGTGAAAACATTTCGCTGAAATTATTCTACGTTTTGGAACACTTTTCAGAAAAATTTCAGCATTTCAGAAAAATTTCAACAAAAATTTCAGTAAAATTTCAAAGAAATTTCAGAGAAATATCAGTTTAATTTCAATGATTTTTCGATGTCAGCTGAAAAATTCACTTTTATTGAAATTTCAACAAATTTTTCATCAATTTTATTGAAATGTTCTAAAACGTGGAGAAATCTATTAATTTCAGTGAAACTTTTTCTCCAAGGTGTATAAGCAATTAATTATTATGATTAGCATATTGAGAGTAATTACTGTATGGTTTTATACCGTATTTTCGTTATATAGTGCAAACTTCCAAAAATTTGATCTTTTTTTAAATTTTCGCATGAGAATAGTATCATTTGATTATATGAAATGTATATTTAACTTTGTATATGTCACATTTACAAAAATTCATCCATATTTATAAATTTCAATTTCGAAATTGAAAAATTATGATATTTATATGTCGCGGTGGGATATATTGCCGAAAAAGAGGCTAAAAGTCAAAGATGTATACACAACAAGTAAGAATTTAATGCCTATTACGGTCAAAAATTCTTTTTAAATAATTTCTATGTGAATTTATATATACTAAGTATATAGTCATCTGAACTGCGCGGCGAAATAATTTTTCGGACTTAGATATAAACGCAGACTATAGTAATATCACAAATTAAATTGATAAGCAATTTAATAATTTGATGCTCAATCTGGCATCCTATCAGAAAGATATTAATATACTGAAAAACTGTAATTAAATTTGGCCTTGATCTTAACAAATATGTTATCCAGGACATGATCCTGAGCAACATTCAAGAGGTTTTAGCCGGTTGAATATCTTGCGTAATGCTAATATCGGCGGTACTGTAACTTTCAAGCCTTAGAACTCGAAAAGTACTTAATGAAAATAAATTTATTATAATGTTTTGAAAAGTTCTTGACACCAACTATTAAATTCTGGCATAAAAAATAAGGCAAAGTACGGATTTTACACTTTAGTTACACTTTACTTCAGTTTTAAAACACGTTTAATTAAAAAGGACAGTTAACATACTAAGAACTATAGCATGTTTGTCGAATAAATAGTTACTCAATAAATAAGTGTAATGCAATTAACGTAAACATACTAATCGCTTTGTCAAATCGTTTTCTAAATTAAATTTGATCAAAATTATCGAATAAATCAATCCTCAAACATTTTCTGAACACCTATCATGGAACATTTCGATCGAAATCCATTCCGATTTATTTCATGATAGGTGCCCAGCAACGGAATTCTGTAATTCTCGTTATGCAATCATTATGTGCTCATAACGACATTGCGCAAATATTTTATATATTAGGTGTTAAACTTAATTCCTGCCGTTTTTCGTCTCCAAAATTGATTTGTTTCGAAGGGAAATACTTTAATCAAAGTATTATTAATAAAGTATTATTAATTAATAATAAGGTAGAAAATGGAGGAAATTACTTTGATTGAAATATTCATTCATCTTCCCTTCGAAACAAATCAATTTTGGAGACGAAAAACGGCAGGAATTAAGTTTAACAACTAATAGTAAAAAAGCTGCGCAACTATCGTTATGAACTCATTACAACTGCATAACAAGTTACAGAATACAGGGACAGATACCTATTGTGTAACTCGTTAAGACAGTAACGACATTGTTGCGCAGATATTTTATAATATAAAAAGCTGCGCAACGATGTCGTTACTATTTTAACAAATTACAAAATAAGGTACCAGGCCTATTCTGTAACTTTTAACGACATTCCAGTATCGTTATACTGTCGTTGTACAGCTTTTTCATCATGTAAAGTACCTGCGCAACGATTCGACATCCCTAGCTAGTAAAATTGTCGTTAAAAAGTTACAGATGCATGTTCTGATTCCCACCAGCAACAGTATTCTGTAACTGTCTTTACACGCCTACCGACAGTTGACGGGATCGTTGCGCAGATATTTTATACGGTGAAAAAGCTGCGCAACGACACAACGATATCGACATTGTCGTTAAAAGTTACAAAAAAGGGCCTCTGGGTGCTCCTCGGATGTCATGTCATTCTTATTTAACAGTTCAGTAAACAATAAGGATGACATGACATCCGGGGGGCACCCAGATGGAAATCCGAACATGCCTCTGAATAGGCTTACTGGTCTCTCGATCGCGATTATCGATTGTAATCTGTTATCTGTCTTACCGTGACTCGTGATAAAATTGGCGAGATAGAGATCTAGTTCCCGGACAGAAACGTTAATATGATAAGGATTGACGCAAAGTCCCGGCTGCGCGCATTCAGCAGTTTTTTCAAGCCGTTCCCCGTCCGTCGATTCCAATGGAATTGCCTTGAAAAGAATCACCATAACTAGGTCCAACCTCCATACCTATCACAGAAATGCGAGCAGTCATAATAAGAGTTTGCATTGTAAAACTCTCACTGTTAAATATTAATGACTCTTTTTAATAAAAATTCATTTAATGATATATAGATAAGGATGCGTAAAAGTGTACGTGGGTCACCGGACTTACCTTGTCCGCTTGACGAAGACAATCGATTCGACGCATTTTACCCTTTTGATCAGGATTACTTAAAACGCACATCGCTGGCCTTTTTCCCGTAATACTTAATACAAAGTCTTCTCGATATTCTTGCGTGATATCCTTTCGTAATTTTCCTAGAAGCCGCGAGGCCCATTTCTGTTTCACTTCCAGCTTCTCGTTCTAAAGAAAGAAAAGACATCATAAATTGCAAACACGAGAATGACAATCATCTGAATTACATCATTGATTCATCGATTTCGTGGTCTAACAAGTAATTATCACTCTTTCCTGATAAAAAGAATACTTGCACGTATTTAATGTAGCTAGAGAACAATTTTATTAGTAGATAACACTACTTTACAGGAAAACATTTTTTTTTAATTACTCTAAATCAGATAAAGTGTTTTTCATAGACTTTTGGATGCTGAAAATGATACCACAAGCCAAATTTCATGTAAGGTTTTCAAAATAATTGAAATTCAACGTGTTAAGAATGGCTTTTTTGCGATACTTGATGTTTTTTGTAAACGTTATCTCGAATTTATTATCAGAAGTTATGAATGTATTCTTTATCCCTTATAAAATATATTCCCTTTAATTTTAATTTTTTATTTTTAGCCACGTTATAAAAAATTTAAATACATGGCTTTTTTAAGATAGCAAATTTTTCGTATATGATCATTGAATAAAGTCAAATGTATTTATAATTTTTAGTCTGTGACTATTGATATACATACACGAAACAAAATTTTTATTTGAAAACATTTTTTTTTTAGTGCGCTTTTTAAGATATTCAAGACGGACAACTAAAATGAATCATTCTGTGTGCGTGTATGTATACAGGATGTTTCCTGTAACATAATCATTTAAAATATCTCCGTTGATTTTGGTGATACGAAAAAATACCACAGGAGATCTTGTTCGATTCAAAGAGACACATATTATGATAAGCAAAAAATTGTTCTCAAGATCATTTTTTTGGGACTTCAAGATCACTTCTACTTTTTTAAATGGAAATCACTTGGTTTACTATACCATACATAAAAAACATCTCAAATAAATTTAGAGGAATTATCAATAAGTTATGTACAAAAATGTCGTTTTTCAGTCTTAATAAGTTAAATAAATTCATTAGAGCACATAAGAACAGACTTCCGGATTCATCTAAGAGAAACGTGGTTTATCGCATAAATTTTAATGATTGTGACGCGTCATATGTGGGCGCGTCAAACGGAAACTACAAACCAGAATATCAGAACATTATGATCATATAAAAAGAAACACATCATCCCAGTTGGTTATAACAGAACATAGGATACGTTACAATCGTGAATTTCGATGGAATGAGGTGGAAATATTGGACAAAATTTTTAATAAGCTACTAATATCAGAAATGTTGTATATCAAACAACAGCATAATGGTCTAAATTTACAGATAGACACGGAAAAGTTAGATTCTATGTATGTTACGTTTTTCAATAACGATTAAATATTATGTTTTTTAACTTTAATGCATGACATTTGTTCAAATTATAAACAAGTATTCGCAGTCTTTACTTAGAAACTGTTGTGTCAAAACATATATTTTTTAAATTTATCTATATTTTATCGGTATAACTGTCTGCTACGAAAACATTTTTGTTATATATATAATTTTAATTGCGTAATGGATTATGGCGCTTATGGTGAGTGTAGGAGAAATATCTTTTAAATGTATTGTGTGTGTTCTCCAATTCGTATTCGATTTCAGTTGTGATTCCAATAGTCTGTCAACTGTTGAGAAACCCACACATTACATGATAAATTTGATTGCGGAACAAGAATTTATGATCTAACAATGGATAATTAATTCTGAAGATGACTCAAAGAGGAGTCGAAACGTCAAAATTCTATTATATTATGGTTGCGCTCATCGAAATCACATCAATGATAAAAAATCTTGTCAGAAGGACTTATTATTATGTACGAACGACACCGACTGAGAAGACGTGACAACAACTCAAGCTTTTATAATTTATCTATAATCGGGAGGTAGGTCCTCGGAAGCCTCTCCATATCCGTCTGCAGGTTGAGTCCATGCATTTGTCTCCTGATGAATATCATCTCCGAAATCAATCTCTTTCTGTAGTGAGGTTCCTCGTCCAATATTGCAACGATGTCCCAATACACTACATGCACTTTTGCGCACAAATAAAAATTTCAGAAACGGAGTTACTTTTGCCTACATGTACTATTGCCTACATGTATTATTGCCTACATGAATTATTGCCTACATGTACTATTACCTACAAGTATTATTGCCTACAGATCGATTGTCTACATACACTTTTGCACACAAATAAAAATTTTAGAAACGGAGTTGCTTTTGCCTACATGTATTATTGCCTCCAAGTATTATTGTCTACAGTTCTATTGCCTACATGCACTTTTGCGCACAAATAAAACTTTAAGGCCCAGTTCCACAACTCACGGTTAACTCTTAACCGAGATTCAACTTATTCATTGTTTCTTTCCAATTCTAGAATTGGATGAGAAACAAATTGAACTTCGGTTAATAGTTAACCATGAGTTGTGGAACTGGGCCTTAGAAGCAGAGTTACTTTTGCCTACATGTATTATTGCCTACAGCTCGATTGCCTACATGTACTTTGCTTCCGCCATTTTCCTATAGATGGCTTTAGCGGTAAGTGGTCGAAATAAATAGATCATAGACATCATACAATAAACTTGGGCATCTGTCAACATACCCCTAGAAACATTAGTCGATTTGTGTCTGCATCATAAAGTTATTCTCGATTGAAAATGTCAGTTTACGAGCCAAATTCTCGTCATTTGCGGGAGGTTTTAAT